TTATTTACAGGAATAAATTATTTCCTATCATAACTCTAATTCTAAGAAAATAATTTATTTATAAGAAATATTTTTTTTCCTATCATAACTCCTGACACTCCTCCTCAAGTTTAGAATGTATGTTAATAATTCCTAACTTGCTGAATAGTATCGAGAACTGAGAAGAGTTTAGTGGTTTTGTGAAAATGTCTGCTGGTTGTTCTAAAGTAGACACATGAGTCAACTTTATTATTCCTTTTTAAACTTTTTCCCGTATGAGATGACAACGATAGCTTTGTTCGCTCATGGTATACCGGGTTCGAGGCGATGTGAAGTGTTGTTTGGTCATCACAAAATAAATTGGCAGGACGTGAATGTATGATTCTCAGATCTTGCAGAATTGTTCTTAGTCAAATAATCTCGCAGCAGATAATGGTCATGGACCGATATTCAGTTTCTGCACTAGAGTGTGATACTGTGGTTTGTTTCTTGGTTTTTCAAGAAATTAATGAACTCTCAAAGAAGATACAATACCCAATAAATGATCTTCGAGTGTTACGACACCTAGCCCAATCTGCATCACAAAAGACATTTAGTTGGGTTGAGCTTTCTGCTGAGAGGAAAATTCTTTGTCCTATTGTTTGTTTTATGTAACATAAAATGTGATGGGCTGCTTCCAAGTGTGGCACTCGTGGTTTGTCCATAAATTGACTTAAGACATGAACTGCATATGTCAAGTCAGGACGTGTAATAATTAAGTAGATTAATCTTCCAACTAGTCCTCGGTATGATGATGGATCACTGACATATTCTCCATCTGATTTGCTAAGAGATGAGTTTTATTCCATAGGGAAAGTGACTAGTTTTGCACCTAGGTACCCAACATCCTTGAGTATTTCAAGAGCATACTTTCACTCTGAAAGCACAATACCCTTCTGGGATCGCGCAACCTTAATACCAAGGAAATATTTCAATTGTCCAAGGTCCTTTAATTTCAATTGGTTCTTCAAGAATATTTTGACATGTTCGATTTCTTGTAATTCGTTCCCTGCAATGATGACATCATCTACATATATAAGAAAGACGATGAATTTACTATTCTGGAATCGGACGAACAAAGAATAATTTGTCTTTGATTGCATAAAATTGCTTTAGTTTAGAGCGGTGGAAAGCTTAATGAACCATTGTCGTGAAGCTTGTTTGAGACATA